TATCCTATACAAAGCTCGGGAATTACTATACACTCCTTAAAAGGGTCGAAGTAATGAGTGATTTGTTGTTTGAATTGCAATCAAGGTTATGAAAATCGGACTCCGGACAACGACGGAAGAATGAGAGGTTCATGGTTCGACCGGTTTGACCGGTCGAACGGGGTCGACCGGATGATGTTATAATAAAATCAATTAATAATTAAAAGTATAAATTAACATAATAATAATTACCATTTATTCTTAAAATTTAATAATTCTAAGAATTTTTAGACTAAAAATAATAAATTCATTACATATATAATAGTTACATAATTTTAAATTAAAATAAATAATTATATATATTTATTATATATTTAAATTAAATAAATAATTACTAATTTAAATTTGAATATAAACATCTTCAATTTCAATTTTAATTTATATTAATAAAAATTTTGTTTATATTATAAATATATAATTAATTAAATAATTATTATGTTATATATTAAGCATAATTTTACATAAATAATTATATAAATTTTTACATTATAAAACTATATTATAATGTCATACAATATATTTTTTAATATTTTTATTTTTCTATCATTTAATTTCGCATTAGAAAGTTTTAGAACTTTAAAATTATAAAAATTATTTTTATTATTAATAATTATAAATATATAATTAATAATATAATTTAAGGAAGTTAGAATATGATGATGTTTATTATGAATATCTCTACAAAAAAATTTCCAAATCAACGATCTCATTCAAAAAAGTCAACTTACAACACATTGTTTGAATGTTGAAACAAAAAACAACTAGTTGTTTTAGTCCCACATCACTTAGGATAGCCTGCGTGGATATCATAGTAATCTGTGTCACTCCTATCCGCGGTTATAATATAGCCTCTACTCAGCATCCTCCTTGTGATTCCAAAATCGAGCATACGTGTCACAGACACACGGTCCATGGTATAGCTAATGGCATACATTGTAAGCTAAATAATTTATATTTACATTTAGGTTTTATATAATATGAATAAATTTTTGAATCGATTTTAATTAATAAAATATATGATTATTTAAATATTTAATATTTAATTAAATATTTTATATAAAAATACGTCATGCAAAAATTATCTTGATCGTGCACGAATCTCGAGGCAAAAATCAAGTTGGAAACTTCAAAAATAAAATCTGAGAGCATCTGAACTCCGATTTCAGCAAACTTACAGTCAAACTGAGCGTCTCGAAAATACGAACCCAACGACACCAAATTCAACTCAATCTGAGCCCAAATAAGTTCAAATCAAGGACCCGAAGCGTTGTTGGAAAGTTCGTACCACAATTCGAGTTACCAAACGGGCTCCGAATTTGATGAACTTATAGTCGAATCGAGCGGCTCGACGAGACGAATCCAACGAGCCCAAGATCGCCGAATTCCGACATCATTAAGACCTTCAAATGTCTGACGAACGGTGCACGATCAAGGGATTCAATATCAGCCGTTCATTTGATCACTCCATATTTGCCCCTGATCTCACACCTATTTACGAGCTATGCCACTCCAAAAAATCTATAAATAGACCACTCATTTCTCATGAGGGGGAAGAAAGAGGAAGAAGAGAAGGAGAAGAGAAGAGAGAAGATTAGGAGGAAAGAAACTACTCCTCGACCACCGCCGGAGTTCCGCCCGAACTCCAAATGACGTCAGAATTCTGTCTGACTTTCACGGGACATCGGAATTATGCCCGACTTCCATGGGACGCCAGAATTTTTCCCAACTTCCATGGGATACTGAAATTCTATCCAAGTAACGACAGAGTTCCCCCTGACGTCGAAACTCCGCCCAAGTGATGTCGGAGTTCTCCTCGACCTCCAACAGACGTCGGACTTCTACCTGATGTCATACCTTCACTCATCGCCAAGTTTCTACCTGATGCCGGACTTCTACCGGTTATCGGACTTTCAATGGACATCTATCCGAAGATGGATTTCTTTCCATTGTTGGACTTCTACCTGACGCCGCCCTTCTGACCTTCGTCGTCAGACAACAGTCCTTCCGACCTCCTTCGCCCGTCGACTACGGTCCTCCTGACTTATGTCGCCCACCGGTCGCCCGCCGACTACAGTCCTTCTGACTTATGTTGCCCACCGACTATAGTCCTTCCGACCTCCGTCGCCAACCGACTACGATCCTCCTAACTTACGTCGTCCGCAGAATACACCCTTTCTGACCTCCGTTACCAGATTATAGTCCTCCCAACCAAACGAACAAGTCAATAGTGATTCTTTGTATTTGCATCATATAATATACTCTATGAAATGTACATCAAACTAAGGCCTTCTCCTAATGAAGGGCCTCATTTGTAATCAACTGCAATACTAGTGGATTCATTCAAACTGGGCTAGGCCCTGTAGTTTTTCCCCCTTTTCATGGGTTTTCCACGTAAAAATATTGATATCTCCTATAAATGTTACACTCTCTTATCTGATTGTGTGCCGGATTTTCGTACAACGCTAAGACGTTAAACTTTATATTTTTCTACCGCTGCGAATACTCCTGGACGCAACAATACTAAAGATACAGAACAAATTCTATTAAAACTTTAAAATGGAGTAATTTGCGAGTGCTAATCCACATTACTTATTCTTTAAATTCTTATTTACATTATTTATTTACGTGTACTTCAAACATGTAAAAACAATAATATGGAACTATAATCCATGCAGTAGCAATGAAGAAATCTCAGAGCAGCAATGAAGAAATCTCAGACTATGTACTATATCAGTTAATGTGCAGGAAGAAAATAACTCAAATTGTACAAAGACCTACAATATCATATATATATGACAGATCAAGCAGTAATGTTTTTATCATATTGATACATTCAAAATTTTATAATATTTTTTTCTGAAGTTTCACAATTAATACATTTAAAACCATGCTATGCGGGCACTTTCGCTTCGTTTGAGACAACTTTCTCATTGATTTCTAAAGCAGCTTTCAAGTACTAAAAATTTTTGAACTAAAAAGTTATTTAAAAAAAAAAGAGTAAGAAACCATCGCAAACGAAGCCTTAGAATCCTCTCAACTCTTACAATATTGCCTAAATTTAAGCTTCACACTTCTTGATGATCTTGTTATCGATTGCAAGGCAAGAAACAAAACTCCATATGTAACAATGGCAAAAACCTTTTTATTTATCCAATCCAGCAGGAAGATGAGCTATCTAGTAGTAATTTTTTTCCCTATTGATTGTCTTCAGGTGGAATAGGTGCAGGTGGGACTAATAATCTTCCAATTCCCATGTACTCTGCAGCAAATTCTTCATTGTTCTTGCCAAGCATATCTTTCAAGCTGCAGGTGATGTTTCTGCTCTTAAGCACCCAGAATCTTGGTTTTATTTTTTTGTCCAGACTATAGCTGAAGTACCGAGGATATTCCACTATCTCCTTCAGAGGCTTCTGCATATTTGTCAGCAGGAATTCAAGTTTTGGTTTGAAAACTGCTTCAATACTGTATCCCAGTAGAGGAGAAAATCTGGAGATCATAGAGGAAACCTCTTTCTTTGACAGCCCAATATCCATCAGATATCTCATCCTGCAGGTTAACTATTTAAAATGCATGTAGTGTTGGAAAATTCCCAGTTATTAATGCCAGCAAAAATATATAAAGATAAAAATGTATGAAACCTAGGGGTGTCAATATTTGACACGACCCGAACACCCGACTCGAACCCGACCCAAAAATTTCGGGTTAGGATCAACCTGAACCCAAAACGGGTCGGTTCGGGTTCAACAATTAGACCCGTTTCAAAAATTGGGTCGGTTCGGGTTGACCCTTTGACCCGAAATTGACACGGTTTTACCCGAAAACCCATTTTTGACCCAACAACCCGAAATTGACCCGTGCTTTACCCTAAAAGCAGAGATTGACCCGTTTTTTAACCCGAAACTAGTAATTTTTTGTTGCCACAGGGTCATTCGTGTCATGTCGGGTTGACCCGGACCCGAAGCGGGTTAGGTTCGGGTCCGGAAAACCGACCCGTTTGCAAAAATAGGTCGGATTCAGATTGACCCGAATAGTGCCAAACCCGACCTATTAAATGGAAAGAACTTCCAATGATCTTGTTAGGTCCAAATAGTGATCCAAGAAAGAGGAAAAATAGAGTACCTAAATGGTGCCAACAATTAACCTAAAATATGTAACTATTCATTTCCATCATGGGATACCAACAAAATGCCATAGTAATGTCCTGGCTAATCAATTCCATGAAAGAACAGATTGGATCCCTATACTTAGGCTTCATTTGGGACGGCTTTCTTACCGCTTCTTAAAATTGATTTCTAGTACAAAAATTAAAATTTTTGTACTAGAAAGCATCTTTAAGAATCGATAAGAAAGCCGTCCCAAACAAAACCTTAGTCTACAATACTACAAAAGCTATGTGTGAAAAAGTCAATATGGCATACTCTGACCTGAAAATTTTGCTCAATTGTGTGAATTACATGATAATTCCCATGACATCAAACAAGTAAACATTAGTGATACTGAATACTTCATCTCACTCACTAAGATTTGGCAAGCATTAAACATCTTCAAACCAAACAAATTAGTGTAGTGAGTGTAAAATAATGCATCAAATTTATTGGAAGAACAATTTTTTTATAATTTTTTTGTAGGTCTCAATAAGGATCTTGATCAAGTTTGCGGTAAAATCCTTATGATTCATCCACTTTCTAAGGTTGATGTGTTTATTCAAGTTTGAAGAATGAAAGAAAATGAATAATACTACTTGAAGGTAACAAGAATACAATCATAATTGAATAATCTGCTTTTGCCATCAGAAGCATGGAACAAAATAAAGGGGATGAATTAATGGCCAAATCCTAAATGTTAACTCGTGTGTATTATAATATATGGGGCCCATCCAAATCCCAAATTGTAACTCGAAGTGATGGTTAATCACTTTTATTAATGGTCATACTTAACATACATTAGTTATACTCTTCAAAAGATAAGTCTAATATTGAACAAACTTTAAAAAGCATTAAAACCAAATATTTCAATTAAACCCAAATTCTTTACTCTGATAGAGGTACAAAATATATTAACCATATTTTTCTCAACAAATTGGTATAACTGAATGGAAAAATAGAATCTCTTAAATATGACTAGATCCATTATGTTTACCACTAATACTCTTAAATATTGTTGAGATGATGCCTTTATCACCAGTTAATAAGTTATACATCATCTTCCTAGTAATGTACTTTAGTTCAAAACTCTTATGGACTTGTTTTCCAAATGCTTTCCAAACACATACTATTTTACATGTACCTCTTAAGATTTTTGGATGTACTTCATTAGTCCATAATCATGAGCCTAACATGAATAAACTTGACCCTAAATTCTTCAAATACAACTTTCTCAAGGTTGGGGCAAATTAAAAGAGGTACAAAAGTTATTTTCCTAAATAATGAAAATATTTGTATCCAAGAATATCAACTTCTTTTAAAAAAAATTTCCATTCAGGGGGGAGATAAAAAAAGGAAAGAAATTTTAATAATTTTCCCTCTAAAATTGCCCAAACCACTAATACTACCAACCTTCCTAGACCTAATGACAACGAGATCAATGAAATTTATTCATTCGACCCCTCAGCATCCCTATAAACTTTGATTTTACTCTCTAAATGGAAGAATCTAAAAAGAAGTGAAATCACTCCACCTCCCAAAGCTTGTCATGGATCCTACTTGGACTTGCTAAACTCAAATACTCTCACGTCTTGTGTAAAATTGAAGAGTTGTTGTGCTCTTAAAAGAGGCATATAACTGTACTCAACATTCTCTGGAAAATATGGCAAGATATTCATCTTATGGTAAGGCAAGATATTCATCTTAGCAATTTAAACTTTAAGCTTTCATCCTATATATATATGAGCTTTGATGTTCAATAACAAAAATCTATACAGTTTGGATATTCTACCTTGGAAGTAAGGTGGTATTTACATCCAACAGAAGAAGTTCGGGGTATTTTCTGATAACACGAGGAAGATAATTTCTAGAAATGCCAAAATCAGTTAGAATGTTGACTTTCCTCTGCAAAGTATCATCTACACTAGCAGCAAATATCTCCGGGCAACGACTTAAAATTCTGCCTATGGTTATGGCATCAAAGCCGAAGTGTTTCAGAAAAGAAACTACCTGCATGAACAAAATATCTTAAAACTTCAGTGCAAATTCTAGCAGTCTATGATAAATACGAAATGAAAAAGAACCAAAACAGCTGCAGCAATCACGATAATAAATACCCAAGAAACAATTGCTAGATTCAAATTTGCATGTGAAAAGACTAATCAGCAGAACTTGAGATGCTTTACTTACATTTCAATGACCCATTATGACTTCTCTCTTCCAAAAAAAAAATGGAAGTTACATGAAACAAAACTCAAGCATTGCAAAAATAGTTAGGTAAAAATTGAGATTCTAGCAAATTTCAGCATATAAATAATGAAGATTTCCAAGACCTATGCTATTAGCATCAAAAGTACAATGTATTTAATTGGAAAAATATGTAACTTCTTTGGACTATTATCACAAGAAAACAAACTTACGACATGCAGATGTCTACAGCAGCTCATTGACTTGAGTTCAGAGAAGTTCAAAGAGATACAAAGCAAATTATCACACCTCATAGAGTTGTCCTGAACAAGTGAATGGCACCCATCATATTCACAGGCTAAAACCAGAAAAGGCAAAAAGATTACACACATGAACAAGTTCATAAACTAGTTTTCACAATGCAAGCAGGGCTAATGGAAGAAATTGCTTTATAAGCCAAATAGAGATTGCAATTTAAAGTTGAAAACCCCTCCACCACAGTCCCCTCTTCTCCTTTTCTTCTCTCCTAGCACACTATCCTTGCATGAATTTGGGGTAGTGCTTTTGATTGCTTTCAGTTGGGCTTTGCGCCAAAAATGAAATTAATGGTAGAGGTCTTTGCAAAAAGCTATATATAAGAAAAAGTTATGCCATGGATGACTAATTGCATTACTAAAGCCACCTAACCCCATTCTATCTTCTCCAAGTTGGATGTGCAATTGCCACCAAGGATTTGTTGTGCCGACATCTTATCAGGGTCATCATCACCGACCATCTCATTGCCTCTACATGTTCGAGCCATAACGCCAACTTGTCATCTTGTGGCTACCATCTTGTGGACATGAAATTAAGATCATTCAGAGGAGATAGCTCCACTCATATTTTACAGCCTCGTCAAATATAATCAAAAGTTCATAATTAAATATCCACAACAATGAATCATTAAACTCAACAAAATCAGGTTGCACTATATAATTATAGATTTTATTTTGTGCTTGATCCGCATCAACCGTACAAAAAAAGATACAAATATCACCTTAAACCATATAAAACTTGCATATTCATAGTAAATTTTATCAAGGATATATAATGGTTTTTGATTCATCTAGTCAATTTTTCATATAAAAATTCATAAACCTTTAAATTTTGGTTCCAAACGATTACAGGATGGACCTATCATATCGTTTCTGTGTATTTTAGGACTAGGATGCAATCCATTACTTAAAAGAAATGACCCAAATTAAACGGCTTGGTTATTCAAGTAGGTTGCACACCCTTAGTATCTAACAAAATAGATTGATAACTAGAAAAGTTCTTTAAAGACTATAAAAAGTAATACAAAGATTTCTGATGTTAAGATAAAGTGGATCAACAGGTTGGTTTTCTTTGTGCAGTGTTAAAGGATTTGGAGTAGTAATTCAAATAAACTTGTTATGATACAATTCCCTTCACCGCCATACTTTCTTTCATTTACAACAGCTTTACCATTTATGAAAGAGAAATTTTTAATGGATCCTAAAGGCTCCAAAAGAGTTTATAAAATAACATGATGCAATATATAGCATGCAAAAATTAAACTGCATGTTTCTTCATAATAACCAAATGACTACTACGATCAGGTCAGATACAAACATACGTTGACCATTAAAGCAGTTCAGAAGCATGTTCTTTTTTCAGGGTATCTGGTAAGAATTAAACAAACGCCATCACATAAACCTGTTTGTACAAAATTCTGTAATGAATAAACCTACATAATTCTGAAAAAGGTCGAGAGAAGTAAAAAAGTTATGTTTGCTTAAATAGGCAGTTAACAAGAAGTTCAGCATGGACATTAACTGAAAAAGGAATGACAAGCCCATAGAAAGGGGGTACTAAACACAAACCTGAAGAAACTCATCAGGTTTTCTTAATAACAATTGTGGGCTTGAAGTAATAACTGGAACCAGCCGCCTAGCATAAACACCTAGTTGACCAAATTGCACGACAATAGAGTTCATTTTGTGAGTTGAACATCCTAATATATGGGGCCAACTTCTAATTGCAAGATCAACACTGGCTTTAGGAACCTGAAACGAAACATTGAATTGGAAGCATAAAAAAGTGTTAGAAGAGATTATCCATCCATGAAAAGGTAGGTCATAGGATCACAACACTCTTCAGGCTGCAATCAGAGACTTTTTCATCATTAAAAAATATTATTTTTTCAATACTGAGAAATACCAAACAAGATAAAAACATAATGAAGTCGAAGAATTCAGCCACATTCTTTCTACCCTGCAAAGGATGATGTTTAGAATTAAAATTCACTTTATTTAACTGTTTTGATACTTTGCAAAAGTAAGAGTATATTTAAATAGGAGAATTAAGTATTCAGGCCATACAGCGCGCCGCTTCTAGGGGACGCCCTAGCATTAACACAATTTCTTAAAGGATTCATGTTATTATTGTTCGACAAGTTTTATGCCGGTTGTCGAGTACCTAACGCAACTCTCCACTTTTCTCATCCAGGACTTGGGACCTGGCAACGGCAGTGTTCAAATTTGTAAATGCCCAAGAGCAAAATAATGACTAATCAATTGAAGTCTAGCTGGTCACATATTATAGCAAAAAAACAAGCTTTAAAATTATCCAAGATGAGCAAACTGATCACACTTAAGTACACTTTATCTTCTTACAGTACTCTCTAATAACTATTAATAAGCACCCACAATAGTTGCATATCCCATACCTAGTCTTTGAATTATTAATCATAAGACCTTTATCTTTTCAACATACTATCAATTATTCGAACTTTCAACTTCAATTAAAAATTCATTGTTTAAAATTATATCTACAATAACCATACATTTAGATATTTTTTTGTTGAATATATTTTTTAATCTCCAAGAAAAAAATACAAATATATACAAACTTAATGTAGATCCTTAGTGTAATTCCATTGCGATTAAAACTCTTTGATCACTTTAAAAATACTTTTAATAGTAATCATTATCCCCATCGTATATATCTTTGTAATAAATTCAATAAAATTTTGGCACCTTTTATTTCTTAAAATGCACCAAATCAAATGTCAATAATGCTTAATCATAAGCCATCTTAAAATCAATAAAAAAACTTATGATGATCATTTCTTTGCTTGCTGCACTTTTCATTAATTATTTTAGCACCAAAATAATTTCTATAAAAGACTTCTTGATATAAAATCAAAGGGATTTTTACTAGCATGCACATGCTTAACAACGGCAAATACACATGATAGAGCAAAGATCCTCATGGAACTGAAGTGTGTAGTGTAGAATGAGGCGTGTGCCATTTTAAACTTGATGCAAAAATATTAAAAAATTGTGAATAGAAATATTGATAAAAATGAAAGACTATAAAATTGAAAGATAAAAATCATCATGATACTAAAAGCAACAAAAGTGAAGCTTAAGTTTAAAGGGTTAACATCCCAACCACTTAAAATTCAACTATTACAATCATTTTTCCAAGTCTAATATTTTTGTCAGAATTTAAACTAATATTTTTTAGAATCGTCATTATTATCATAAGTAAAAAAAAAAAAAAGTCTGATTTCCTTCATCAGCAGCATCTCCTAAATCATAATATTCTTCATTAGCCTCATCATTTTCAAGTTCAATTGAAACAATTTTTTTTTTTAAATTGCAATAATATTATGCCTACATGAAGACTACTTCTCTTGCCTTTAGATCATCTCAAATATTATAGCTTTCTTCATTAGCACCGCTGGCTTTTACAAAAGTATTGTATGTCAAATCTTCCTCGCCAATAACTAACTCATTATATCCATCTAACTCATCATCTATTTTTCCTGTTAACCACTCATTTGCATCACTTGTATCATTCAAAGAGAGAGAGTCAATCATGCCATAATAGTTGCATCTGTGAATCAATGCCCTATCATATTTTCATATAAACAAAATATTTGAGTCAACCATAATCCATTCGATTTTTTTGCTATGAGCTACTATTGAAAATCATTAAAATCACTAAATTAAAATTTTAATGATAAAACCAATATATAATTTTATTTTATACTTACAGGTTCAAATATACTCTAATTGTCTTCACATTCAGACAAACTACATAGGCTAAGGACTTTAATCACGGAAATTTGTTAGACCGGTCCAAAGCCGGTCCACGCGGGACCGGCCGAGACACGAAACGGAGGAAATCTTCCTCCTGGGCGGAGGCCGCGCGAGCCGCTCGGCTTGCGGGAGCGTTTTAGGAAGCGTTTTTGAGGGTTTTGAGAGGAAATTTTGAATGTAGGGACTGTTTAGGGATTTCCTTTTGATTTGTATGCATTAAATAGTTGATTTTCCTAGGATTTTGAGGATCTTGAATTTGGCTGAAATTTGATATCTCTTAGATTTAGGTTTCTTTGGGCTCTAGCAGCGTCTAGAGATTTGGGAGAGATCGATCCTCCTCTCAAATTGAGGATCAATTGTATCTTTTCTATTATGTTGCATCTATTAGTAAAATACAAGTCTTTTCTCCACTGTTTTCTCTCCGATTTGCTATTTTTCCACTATTTTGGGGCTGATTTCTGCTGTGGACAGCAGGCTGTCATTGATTATTGCTTCTAAAGTGGTTAGGAAAATACTTGAAATCAAGTGTTACCTATCAAATTGGTATCAGAGCATCGATTTGGGGACCTTAGGCAGCTGAAATCCTGATTTTTCAGCGAGCTTTTGGCTCCCGGAAGTGATTTTTTTGAAGATCCGTTGAGGAAGAAAGATGGCCGGAAAGAAGGTTGACGTCTTGGAAGGCGAAGTAGGCCAATTGAAAGCCGATTTGGAGGAAAGATTCTTCAACTTTCAAAACCAACTCACCTCCAACAATGAAAGGTTGGAGGGGAAGTTCACTGCAATGGAGGAAATGATGAAGAAACTGCTTGAGATGAAAACCAATCCGGCGACATCGGAAGTAAGAGAGACCACCGACGGTCATGGCATGGGAGGAAATCTGAACCCCCTGCGGAGGAGAAGAAATTCGGAGGTGGAGATCCTAGAGGAAGAGAACGACATGCCTCCTCTAGAGCCTCTTTCGAGGGAAGAGATGAGCATGGGATATGACAGAATGTGGGCTGATTTTGGTGGGAGGAGAGAGTGATCTAATCGCCGAGGTGCTGAATTCGAAAGAATTCAGCGTCGAGGGGGAGATTTTGAAGGAAGAAGGGAGGAACGTCATCGTCGAGGTGCTGAATTTGGAGGTATTCAGCGTCGAGGTGATGATGTTGAAGGGAGGAGAGGAGAGTATGAAGAGGGGTTCGAGTATAGTCGTCGGAGGGATGATCGGGACAATTGGGGAGCGCCTCCTCTGAGAGGAATGGGAGGCTATGGAAGATACCGGGGAGATCCCAAGGTGAGGAAATTGAAGATGCCCGTTTTCGAGGGGGAAGATGGCCATGGCTGGATCTACAAGGTGGAGCGATATTTTGCTGTCAATGGATTGACAGAGGAAGAGAAATTGACAGCGGCGGGAATGTGCTTGGAGGGGAAAGCCTTAGCCTGGTATCAATGGCATGACAGACGGGAGCCCATCCGGAGTTGGCGAGAGTTCAAAGAATGCTTACTAGAGCGTTTCCGAGCCGATGGGGAATGAGACTTCTATGAGCAATTCTTTGGCCTTACCCAGGAAGGCATAGTGGCAGATTACCGGGACAGGTTTGAGTATCTGGCTAGTAGGCTGGATCATATCTCGGAGTCAGCCCTGGAAGGGAATTTCATGAAGGGGCTGAAACCAGAAATAAGAACAGCAGTCAGAGTGTTGGAGCCATGGAGTTGGCCCAGTTGGTGGAGGACCAGAAGAAGTCTGAAAGAGGGAATCAGGGAAACCATTCAGGAGGCTCTTACAGAACGACGACCACTCTTCTAGCACCCAAGGGGCCTGCATCAAGCAACATTAATGAGACCAACCGGGAGAAGCCAGTAGGAGGAGGGAGTGGGAAAAATTTCAAGAGGCTGACAGAGGAGATGCAGGAGAAGAGGGCAAAGGGGTTGTGCTTCAGATGTGATGAGAAGTACATGCCGGGGCATAGGTGCAAGGACCGAACTCTTCAGGTTCTCCTTGTCAGTGAAGACAAGGAAGACGAGGAGGGAGGTGAGAGCAGATCTGAAGCGGAGGAAAAGTTGCACCTGAATGTGGCAGAAGTCTCTCTGAACTCTGTAGCGGGATTCACTCCGAGTCACACTATGAAAGTGAAAGGAGAGATAGCTGGCCGTGAGGTGGTGGTGCTAATTGATAGTGGGGCTACCCACAATTTCATTTCCACTCAGGTCGTCAACCAACTGGGAGTGAAATAAATATTGATAAAAATGAAAGACTATAAAATTGAAAGATAAATCATCATGATACTAAAAGCAACAAAAGTGAAGCTTAAGTTTAAAGGGTTAACATCCCAACCACTTAAAATTCAACTATTACAATCATTTTTCCAAGTCTAATATTTTTGTCAGAATTTAAACTAATATTTTTTAGAATCGTCATTATTATCATAAGTAAAAAAAAAAAAAAGTCTGATTTCCTTCATCAGCAGCATCTCCTAAATCATAATATTCTTCATTAGCCTCATCATTTTCAAGTTCAATTGAAACAATTTTTTTTTTGAAATTGCAATAATATTATGCCTACATGAAGACTACTTCTCTTGCCTTTAGATCATCTCAAATATTATAGCTTTCTTCATAAACACCGCTGGCTTTTACAAAAGTATTGTATGTCAAATCTTCCTCTCCAATAACTAACTCATTATATCCATCTAACTCATCATCTATTTTTCCTGTTAACCACTCATTTGCATCACTTGTATCATTCAAAGAGAGAGAGTCAATCATGCCATAATAGTTGCATCTGTGAATCAATGCCCTATCATATTTCATATAAATAAAATATTTGAGTCAACCATAATCTATTCGATTTTTTTGCTATGAGCTACTATTGAAAATCATTAAAATCACTAAATTAAAATTTTAATGATAAAACCAATATATAATTTTATTTTATACTTACAGGTTCAAATATACTGTAATTGTCTTCACATTCAGACAAACTACATAGGCTAAGGACTTTAATCACAGAAATTGTAAGTGTGAAGCTCTCTAGCCATATGCTAACCACCAATCTACTAGAAGTGATGAAGTATTTCACAACTTTCATTATCATTTGTGGTACTATCATTGTGGGTCGCGACCCAATCTACCAATGATAGAGCCTTTACAACATCATCCAATGAGCCTGATTAATAGAATGAGTTGCTTTCTTTCATATATCCTAAATAGATCAGATTGGCAACATGACAAAGAACATATCCTTTCAAGCTGATTTTCAAAATTCATATTTGATGGAAACCCCTAAAAGATGCCAATATAGTTGATTGTTGTTCAAAGAAGTCAGGACATGAACAAAGGTTTAGCGTTATGGAAATTTGAAAGCCTATATTTGGGAAAACATAAATTGTATGCATTAACACAAGAATTTTATGATCCAAGCAATGCTTCAACTTAAATTTACTTATTATTTTTATTTCATAATTTTGAATCTACATTAATTTATTTTGGCATAAAAATGCCTATGACCATAGTCCTTATAAAAACAAGTTGTGTTCTCTAATGTTAGTGTTGGTTCGATTCCCTGATTTGGTTATTTTCTTGGTTTGATTCAATTCTAACAATTGGTTCAATGGGTTGTTGATATTACAGGTGGTTGTTTTCCCTACCTTCTATGGTTAATATGATGTAGCCAGAAGTACCCAAAACCGGTTGATCTATTGTAACAAGGACAAGTTGAATCACCATAATAGAGAGAACCAATAATTCACAATGCCATTGAATCCTCTATTTCCTAAACTATGATCCTATGTCCAAAATTTATGGAATGCAATTTTGTGCACTGAAACAAGATTTCCATTATCACCTAAAATTTTCCAAACATTAATACATATCTCATTTAACCTAAAGCATTGCCATTAATATTCTACAGAGCTAAATGTACTTCACATTTTACATCAATCAATAATATACCCCATATTCTTCTATACATTATGGACTTCCAATAAACTTACATCCATAAAATTACTAAAATATTTTTCTCAAAATAGCAATTCCATATTTCATTGATATCTCTATTTTAAATTAAGACCTTTTCAAGATAGCTTTGCTTACTACCCTCACTGTAAAATTTATAGCTTCCTTGTATTCATTACAAGTCTCAATGGTATTCATAGTTTCTTACTCCTCAATAGCACATGTTTTTCCTGATAGCTTTTTATGCTGGCACACACTACGAAAAAATTCTTATGTACAATCCATTTATAAACTTTTCGATTGATTCTACAACAACCTTTTAATAGAATTAGCCACCTTATCCCAATAAAGGTTGGCTCATGATAGAATTAGAATTACAATCTGGCTCTCATAACAATCTATCACGAAAGAATAACTTCTGAAACTTTAAATTCTATTATCTTATAATAGTGTGATTATTGTTTTTATTATATTCATAAAATATCCATTCATAATTATTACTCCAAGTTGTGTATTAATTTTTTTCCTAAAAGCACCTTACAATCATTGCAAAAGGATATCTTTTTATAAATAAAATTTTATCTATTTGTGATTTCATAGCCATACATTTGAAAATAACTTAAAATTTTCCATTTATTTAAAGTATACATTTGCTACTTCCAGATCATATGAAACATTAAAATCAAATATAGTTTCTCCATTGAGTTTCTATGTTTTATTTCATGCCCACAATGAACACACTCAAAGTAAATCCTACCAGAATACATACATCCATTTGTCACCTTCAATAATTATCATCTCTTCCTAAGATTCATCTCTGAATTTAGTTTGTCAAACTATCTTCTAAAACAACTAAAGCATACAAAGTAATCACATTTATTATGCCATGATTAGTAATTAACTTAATAACAATCACCCTATCACTAATAATATTCACGCCAATAATTTAATCTTTTAATTTTTTATCCAACACTATCATTACATCTTCATTAGTTCATCCAATGATTTTATCTGCCCATTTCAAGTTTTATATCAGACAATGCTATTAAGATCAATTACAAATTCGGACAAGAAAACTTGCAAACAAAGATGGCCATTCATTTGCTGTGCATTTGTTACATGAAAACGTTAATTGATAACAAACAAAATGAAATCACGAACCCAGAGGTACAGCACAATCTACTTGTAAATTATATATTAGTTTGAAGTGATCATTTTTTCATCATTTTCCAATACAGATAGAAACCTTTTTATGCATAAAGGGCTAACATAATACCTTTCTTCCAGTAAAGAACTCCACAATCTTATCATAATTCTTCTGAACACTGGATGAAAGAAACCATGGATATTTGATAAGTATTTTGCCAATATCTTTGTCAAAACCAGCCTAGAGCAGAAAAATATGAAAAAAAAAAAAAGTTAATAAAATCCATAGCACCATATTGTGTTTCAGTAACTACGTTGCCTTAAGTAATCCTTAAAGAAACTTAAGCAACAAAAGAATAGGAGAAAAAAAATAGCAATGTTGGCTAATAGAAAAAATATAGTTGGAACTCAGCACTAAAAAGTCTCTTCTACTCCCCCTTCTTTCTCTTTAAACAACAGCATCAAACTTGACTGATCCTATGCAAAGTGGCACTTTCATGGCAGGTAACAAATTTCTAAAATTACGCAGTAAAACAAAACCAAAAATCAATTCAAAAGTAAAATTACAAACTTTCATAAGATAACATAACTACAAAATCTCTCCAAGGGAAAAAAAGATTATTGTTTAGAAGAAAAAAAAGTCGGCAACATTGAACATGGACATTTTCATGCCCAAGGAATATTCCCTATAATTGAGATTATCAGCAATGTATTTCTAAAAATCAAATGCATTCAACGCACTGTTGTATTGGTGTTGTATTCAACACTGGCCATGAAGCGTGAAACAGAGTAGATGCCTAGAAGAAAACATATTTCATCAATAAGTATGATATAGTGGACTAAAAAAGTGTTCTGAAGTGAACAAGAATATTAGCAAATAATGCAGGCAACCCAATTCTTTTGTGCATCAGGTGAGAATTTTGGAAATAGAAAAATTAGTGACTAGGAAACTTGATTTTTTTTATTCATCCATTGAGTGCTCATGCACAAAGGTGCCCAAAAAATAATTGGAAACTCTACGATTTCTAAGATGCGATTACTATAATTTAAAATTTAAAAACTGCTATTTCAAGTAGCAAGCCTACCCTTGAAGCCTTCCATTGTTTCCATCTAGGGATCAATCAATAGTAATCTTCTTTCCTTGTTCAACATAAGCATCCGGGCCACTTGCAGCCTTCCAATTTTGCCAGCTAGGAAGCAATATGTAGCCTTCCTTCTTCCAAGTTTAGCACATAAATCATTACTTTCCTAATTTGCATATGAATCCATAGCACATTAACTTCCATATTTAGCAAACCATAGCTGCAAATTCTAGGTAATTTCAATATTCCTCAAACTAGATGGTAGACTTCCACCATTCCTAGTTCACTTAAGATATTTTAAAAGCAAGGTTCCAAAATCCTTAGTAAATGCACCGGTAAATTGGCTACCTGTTGGAGCATACAAAATGAAAATTAACCCACTTTCTCATTTTTCTTTTATGAAATGCCTATTCACCTCCACATATTTGGTTCAATCATATTATATCGGATTGTGGGAAATGTTGATGGCAAACTAATTCACCGTATATCCTCAAAGATACTTTTCATTTGATCTTTAAATCTTCTAATATAATTTAACAAAAATGCATGACTGATCTGAATTGGGATAAAACAATTACCTCAAAATCACATATTGTTTATTGCTTCTCTATGTCATAGGATTTACACTTAGCACAGTATAATATACTAAGTAGATCTCCTATCCATTGGTGATCCTGCATAATTAGCATCAGTATAACCTTCAATCTGTCGTGTATCCTGATTTTTATAAAGAACCATCCTCAAGAATTTGATTTTAGATATCCGAGAACTCTATAAGCAACTTATATATAACTTGTAAGAATTACTACAAAAGTGATTTTAGGATGGGTGTGGAATAGGTAGATTAGTTTTCAACTAATCTTTGATATTCTCCAATGTCAACATATGTTCCTTCTTCATCTAAAGTCTAGTTGATGACCTAGTTCAAGTGGAGTTTCACATGCTTTGCAATCACTCACTTTTATTTCTCTCAAAAGATCCATAATATAACATATTTTTGTTAAGAGATGAAATTTTCTCTCAGATGGAGCTACTTCTATGCCTATGAAGTATTTGACTTCGTCGAGTTAATTAATTTCAAATTTTGTGGTGAGATTTTTCCTAAATAGTTTTTTTTTTTCCTTCATTCTAATCACTTGTAACAACATACATAATAAGAATTGACACTTTTCCTTCTACAATGTTTTATAAAGAGTGCATTATCTCCTTGGCTTTGTTCATATTTCATTCCACACATGGCATTTATCAATCTTTCAAACCATGTCATTAGGGATTGTTTAAGACCATATAGTGCCTTTTTTTAACCTACACACCTGATTTCTAGTGAAAGGATTGTCGAATGATGGTATTAGATTTATATAAACTTCTACACTACATGTAAAAAAGCATTTTTTTCACATCATATTGTTTCATGGATCATATAAAGTTAATATCCAGAGTATTCATTATAGAAGCATTTTTTAGTAATAAAGTATTTGGTAGTCTCTATCATACATGATTGAGTATATCATTTTGCTACTAACCTTACTTGATACCTTTGTAGGATTCCATTAACTTTATATTTAAATGAGAAATCTACTTTATCCTACAATTTTTTTTTTCCTTTTGGTGGTTCAGGGCATTCATGTGTTCTGTCATGCACCCATCCAACTCTTGTTTCTAATGTCTCAAATAAATCTGTGAAATTTTAGTAGTGATGAACTGTCTTTGTAATGAAGGCTTTATGTGTAGGAAAAAACTTTAAAATGATATGTATTAGGTTATGCGATATATATGAGGATGTAGCAATGGGTTGATCATTGTTATGGGACTTACCCGACAAAAGTTGTAATGGTAGAGTATTTGGATAGATTTTGTACTTGTATAGACCTAAAAGTTGTATAGTGATAGAATTAGATTGTTGTTGTTTCTATGTTTTTGTAGCATGAATGTTAAGGGAAAAGAAATTAAGTTCACCAAACTTTTTGTTCATTTGATTGTTCTCACGCTAAAGAAAAGTTTGATTAAAGAAATTTGTTTTTTCATTAAATATAAAATCTTTTGAAGTGAAGTTTTTTATAGTTAGATGATATCACCATACCATTTTTTTAGTGAAACAATACTCTACAAAAACACACTTAAGAGCTATAGGATCAAATTTACCCTTTCGTTGTTTATAGATGTGAATGTATGACAGCAAAATATTTTTGGAGAATTTTTTGTGAAAAACGTTATTTCATGGGAAAAAAAACTTGGCAATATATTTTAAGAGATTTTTTAAGTTTATCACTCTAGAGGATATTCTATTAATTAAATATATGAAGGAAAAGATAGCTTCGCCCACATATCATTTGGGAATTTGATTTTAGAAGAGAAGAGCTTGGTAACTTGAAGGATATGTCAATTTTTTCTTTTAGCTGCCCATTTAGTTGGAGAGTGTCACAGCAAGAGAATTGATGCATAATTCCTTCTTTAATGAGAAAAGGAGAAAAGGTTTGATTAAAATAATCTCAAGTATTATCTATCTAATTTTTTAATGCTAACTCCAAATAAATTTTTTATCATAGAGATAAAACTTAGAAGGATAAGACTAATATCATATTTTTGTTATATATGATTAGCTCATGTCATCCAAGTGTAATCATTATTAAATGTTATCAATTCTTTAACTCCATAAACATTAGATATTTTTTTGGGTCCCAAAATATCATAGTCGAGAGAAAGATGATCAAGATTCACTATTGGAAAAAGGAATTCAATGATATATAGCAATCTCACATGTCCCAAAATGAGAGCTTTCAATGCTAAAATTTATAAACATATAATGAAACACACATTTTAGGATTTTAAAGATTGATGCGCTTGTTGACAATGATGAACCCAAGTATTGCTTCATTTAAATAAATGTAAACAGGCAAGATGTGCCATTATTGTCATCAAGTATAGCTCATCATTTTCTCTAATTTGTTCAATCGTCTTCCTCGTGTTAGTTCCTGAAATTCACATGATTAATTAAAATTATTACATTACAATTGTGATCTTTGGTGATTTTATAAATGGAAAAAAAGATTTATTAATGGTAAATGAAGCATAAATAGAAATATTTTCTTGGCCCGCAACATTAGTAAAGAACCCATCAACTACTTCTGGTTTTCTATTACTAGGATAAAGCTTGTATGTTTTGAAGGTGTTGATATGCTTTTTCATATAATCAGTGACTCCTAAATCTATTATCTAGGTTTTTGGGGATTCAATTAAAGCATTTAAACCATAAAGATTAGAAATTTTACCATTTTGAGCTAAAAAACAACCAGACAGCTTTTATAGGGAGCTGAAGTTCCTTAGCTTGTTAATTTCTTCTAAATTGAGCCTATGAGCTATTGAAAATTTGCACCTCAATTCCATTAAGAGAGTTTTGGATTTTTCATTGTAGCAAATAAGCACAAACTTGAGATTCCACCCTCATTGTGTGAGGACTTTACAATCTATTTCAAGGTTTCCTAGAGGCACAAGTTTCTATGATTAATTACTCCTCCCGATGGCAAGAGAAAACTTTCAATTAAGGCTAATCATTGAAAGTTAAGTGCTTAACATATGGTGGTAGAAAATTTGATTTATGGTTGAGAAATTTATCATCATAAACTTAAAGTAAATAAAAGAATAAATGATGACGAACCCAATCAAGATTCCATATTTCCATCATCCTAATTTATTATGGACCATAATCTACTTAATCAAATGACTTAATCAAGTCAGTCAAACCGAAATATTCAAATCGACAATCATGGATTGCTTTATTCAAAGGGACTTTATAGACCTGTGATAAATGTCTTCCTAAGGGGATGAACTTAAGTGAATCTTAGCTAATAAAGCTTTATATCATATCAAGTGTACCCTATAATTCATAACTCAAGGGTTTTCAAGTCATTGGACAACTTGTGGGCTCATGCCATAATCAAAATTTAATGGTGTCATTTTGAGGCAAAACCATCCATGTAGAAGGCTCCGGCCAAGCCATTTACCTATGGAGGCATTTGTATGACGCGCTTAAACATTTGCACACTTGCACATTTCTTAGTGTATTTTTATGAAGCATATGCACATTTCTCATTGCATTTGCATAATGCCCTTGCACACTATATGATTATTGGTGTGCTTAATATTGCGCTTACATGTTTCTTGAGATAAGCCAAATTTAAGTTCATTTTCATTTTTTGGCATACACGTCATTTTCCAAACTCAAACTTATGAGTTTGATGTAATTATCAATGTATTTATCAAAGCACATGCGAGCGAGTGAATTTATTTTTAGTGATTTGATGTCATGAATGCTTTCAATGTATTTCCAAGCGCACTTACAGGTTTCACGAAGCACTTGTGTGCTTTAAGAGAAAAACTTGAATTAAAAATGCTATCTTTGAGTAAATCTAAGCTCTTGAAAAGAATAAAATTTGGGACAGTACAAATGTGCCATTAAGAAAGCGAACAACTCGTTACAAATGAATTTTCACTGTTCTCTCTTGTGAGTCTGTGACTAACTTTAATCGGTCGCTTTGAAAATTAGGAGTTAATAGTGCCTTCTTTAATGATGATCTTAAAGAAGTCTATATGAAATTTCCTCCTAATTCAAATACTTGTCGTAGCAAACAAAGTTTGCAATCTTAAAAGGTTTTTATATGACTTACAAACTATAGCAATCCTCACGAGCTTGGTTAGCCAAATTTACCAAACTGGTCAAACATTTTGGTTACATATAATGTTAACCTGCCATGCTCTTTCTTAAAAGACCAATTTTGAGGTAAAACAATTGTTCTGATTGTAGGTTTAAAATTGCGCAATTGGATATTGAGTCGTTTTTTTTCGTGAGGCAAGCGTAAGCGTCAAGGTATTTTGAGATGTAAGTATCAAAAATAAAAAAATTGCGTTAAATCAAAATAAATGTTAAAAATGATTTTTTATATAATACTCAAATAATATGTTAAAAGATGATATGTAAATTTTCTATTAAATTATGAGGTAACAAATTGGCATACGTATGAAATAAAATATTGCATAAGACGTAAAGTGATAAATTGCGTGAAATAGAATGAAAATCAAAATATTACATGAGCTAAATAATATTAAATCTAGGAATGACATAAAAGTATCATATAATATCAAGTTCAACTCCAAATTCATTCTTTCTAAGTTCCCTACTCATCCATATTTAATTCATAAAGAAAAATGAAATAGTTGACAAAAACATAGAAGTCATCACTGAGGGGGTTTTTATGAGTCATCATTATAACAAATTGGTCACTCTCTTGTCTCATCCTATGGAGTCAAATACCTCCCAAGTTGCTTCTTCATTTATTTAATTCATCTTCCTCTTTCAAAAATATTTTTCACTAACATAAATATGAGATTAATACTCCTAAAATTTTAGAGACGGTGGTGGTGTGCGGGCCTCAAGTGATCACCGGCGGCTGCGACGTTGTTGACTATGGAGAAAATGGACTAAAGGTCAAGGCAGTCGAGAGGAAGTTGTTGCACTTGGGGGTGCATTAATTTGTTCGGAGCTTTAGTGTAGGATTTATGTAAGTTTAAATAAAAAAATTTATAAATAGAGTGAAGTGTAAGCCTCACATCGATGAGGCGTGGCGTGCCTCAAGGCGGGCCTCAACCAAGCTGAGGTGCAAGCCTCATAAAATAAAAAGTAAAAGAAGAGGCATAAGCCTCGATGCATTTTTCACTAGAATTACGCTAAGGTGCACCTCAAGGCGAGCCTCATATTACGCAATTTTAAACAATATCTGATTGTTTCACCGGAAACTTTATTAAGAAAATAAGCATACTCAAAAGGACTCTTAGCCAAAGAATTTGAAATTAAAGACTTGGGAAATCATAAATATTTTTGGTTATGGAGGTTACTCGATCACAAAAAAAAAATCAATCTCACAACACATGTCTTTAATATCCTACAATAAACAATAATAATGGGACACAAAACGGTAGATGCTTACATGCAACTAAGTGATAAACCTGGAACATAAGATGATAGTGCTCCAATGGATAAAGGTTGAATCAAAGACTTATTGACACGCCTGATATTTGATTTTCAATCAATATGGTCAATAAAATTGTGAATAATCCTACTCAAAATGAAAAAGACCAGTAAAAGGATCGCTCTTAAAAAAAAAAAAAACTTGGAGAGAAAAATTGAGGATTTTATTGATATTAATTGGGCAGGCTCAGTTACAGATCTCAGGTTCACTTTAGCATATTATAAATTTGTGTGGAGAAAGTGAAAAGCAATATTTGGTTGCCCGAATCAGTGCAGAAGTTGAGATTAGAGCAATTAAAACAACTTTTCTGTGAATTATTCATCGTACAAAATAATTAATCAGACTATTATATCAGCCTACCGTACACTAGATTAGAATTGTAACATCAGGAAGTGATAAATTAACAAACCTACAAAATAAAACATTTGGTACAAAAATGACCCCAAAGTTCAGAAGATGCACTTATAAAAGAAAGAATTGAAGGCCATATTAAGGTCATGTAGATATTGATGTAAAATCAATCTATAAAGTAAACTGCAAAGTAAATTACTAATAGAAATAGTTTACAAAGTGTTTAAGAAAATTACAAAAGGAGAAGAAAACATTTTACATCAGCATACCTTTTTTAACACATCCAAACTTGATTTAATATCATTCTCAATGTCATAGAATATGATCGGTGGGTATAATAGAAGTACAATTCTTATGCTTGCTATGGGGACTCCAACAAGTACGAGAAAATCAGCTAAAGGTTTCAAATGATATTCAACAGATAACAAAAGTAGCCTTGGGAAAGATTCAATGAGATGTGGAAAATAGGCATCTCCCTGGTCCAACATACTTAAACCTCCATGTCTAGCCTCCATCTGTACAGAAGAAAGACTTTAACTAGATACAGCAGTTATTCATAGACGAAGCAATACAATAACTATGCAAAACAAGTAGATGGAGAAAGTTAATATATCTGATTAAGCACAATGCAACTTACTTTTTCAAAAAATGCTAGAGTCTCTTGGATATCATCATCTATAAAAATTGATAAATGCATCATCATACGCCGAGCATTCTTTCCGATGACCAAAATACTTTCACTGCTTGAGAATAACATTTCTTTCACAAATTTAACCTACTACATAGTCGCAGAGAAAATTAAAAAAATCAAGACAAAATCATAGAGCACCAAAAGTTGATAAATTAATAAAAATCAAAATTAACTGAAAAATTAATAAATTCTGCATTTTAGAATGAGCATTTACTTACCTTTAATTATATCAAGAAAATTTAAGTAGTTTACATGACTGCTTTCTCTAAAAAGGTCAAGTAAATATTTTCATAATCATCTATAAAAAAAGGCACACAGAAGCCATTGACATGTGTCAATATGGTGCAAAGCAAGAGTAGCACGAAAATAGAACATCTTAAATTAAAGATAGCTGTCCATACATTATTATAGGATTCTGATCTACAACCTGTCCATACAAAAAAACCCTACAGATTATGGAAGAATATAAAACAAACAAAAGTAAAGTACAAGAAAAAATCAAATGGAAAACTTAAGAACATGCTTGTAAATGTTTAAATCAAACTGAGGGGAAAAAAGAATTTTTCCAAGTAAGATTGCAGAAAATGGGACTGGTGATAAAACATTTGATGCATAATAAACAAGCCAGCAAACCAATCAATCATTTTTAAGGAACATATAACTAGCCACCTTTAACAGAAGGTGTGACATCTTCCATTATAAGTATTGTAAGAAAATGGCACCTCCATAACCCCCTACAACCCAAGCCCACAAACCCACACAAACACTGCAATTTTTAACAGCAAAAGAAACCAAGAATTATATGAGTAGGTGTCATCCAATAACATACTTGAAAAATCTTTTGTCCTCAACCAATGTTCCCAACTGCTCCAACCCTCTAAACACCCTTTCCTCATCCCTTCAATCTGATCAATCAACAGTTTCTTTCACCTTCCCCATTTCAATCTACCACTAACACACCCACTAGCTTCCAGCAATGGAAACTAACCCTCTCATACCCCTCCATTCATGAACATTCATACCTCTCTCTCACTTTCTCTACTCATATAAACCAAGAGATTCAGCATCAACCCATCAATATTTTGGTAGTTTAGTTGGGGAAGAGGTGATTATTATTATTCTAAATATCACCTCCATCTCCTTACCTTCAATATCTTTTCTCTCATTATGTAATCTCCATCTCCCTCCTAAGTAGCCAAGAAAGGAAACCAACTAATAAAGTTTTAGCAGCATACAAGCAACCAGCCACTCTTACTCCCCATCCCAACCCAAATTTATTCCCATTCCCCACTCAAACACATGTCACATCTAAACAAAAACCAGACAAAAATACTAAGTATTAACAAATGAGTAGGTGGCAAAAAAACATACCTGGCAGATCTTTTCTGCTCTGCCGTGCTCCTGACTACTCCAATCCTCTAAACCGCCACAACCCCTTAGTCTAATGTTTTCATTAACCTCTCTCATTTTAATTTACCTCCCACAAGCCAATACCTCCCAACAAAAAATAATAATAACCTTATGACCCCACCATTCTCTCAAAAGAAAATTACCCCAGACACCCTTCAATCCTAAACCAATAAAAAAAAGGTTTCATCCTTTCGATCCATGAACCTGCATGTGGATCTCTCTCACTGTACACACAACCCCAAAGACCCTCACACAAATACAATTTCAGAATCAACCCATCAATACTTTTGATGTGTAGTCAGGGAAGACGTGGTTACTGAACAAATCCTCTCAAACCCCTGATCATAACATACAAAGAAGATAAAAATTCTATGGGAAGATGGTATTTGGAGTTCTAATTGCACTGGCTAGAACTTTAGCATTATGTATATATTTATGCAGTGGCAAATAGAATAATAAAGTGACAAATAGAAGAATAAGTCTCCCCCTTTATATGCTTCACGAAATTTCAAAATCACCAATTTAAAAGATTGTTTCCAACACAGATCAAAACTATGGTCTGCATGTTTTTGAAAAGCAGCGCATTGCTAAACAAAGCTGTAATATCACATAACTATACATTCATGAAAGCTATGAAAAAAAAATCAAATGATAAAGAAGTACATATTCCAATCCAATGGTATTATTGATCACAAATATATAGCGTGGATCATCTTGTATGGTAAAATGTACACGCACCTTATCAATGAGATCAGGAAGTTTTTCAGAAGCCAGATATCTAGCAATAAGCATGGCCGAGGAATGCCTAATTCCAAGACTCTCTAGAAAGGGGAACAATCCACCATCCCTCTTACTCTTAGCCATGCAGCGAACCTTTTCTCTAAAACTAAGAGAAGCAATATCATCCCCTCCCTCCTCTGCGTCGGAACCCCGACCCCACGAACTCCATAGCGAATGCTCGTCCAACTCGCGAACATTCCCGACGATCATATCCAAATACTGAGGCGAATTCAAAGCAATCATCCTCGTGTCCTCTTCTGAAGCTCCATACTCTCGCAGAATATCTATAATAGCCTCCCGCGCTTCCTCCATAGCTGACCCCCCTGACTCCTCTTGCGAGATGTGGCCATTTTCGCCAGCGGAAAACTGTACCCGCACGCTAGGGAACCGCGAACTACTTCTGGGTAGAACCGATATCGGAGAAAGGCGAGAAAGGGGCAAGATCAGGGGCAAATGGTGATAGAAAAACGTTGGATTTGTCGATGAACAGCACCCCGCAACCCTGGATTCGAAGAAGCCAAGCAAAGCAGCCGGTATTGCCCAGGCCTGCATGGCTCTCGTGTCAAGTTCCCATTGATTTCGTTACAATGCTGATCCCCGCGCCTTCGAAGTTTAACAACCAAAACCCTACCTAGGGTTTAAGGGAAATTATTGTGTGTGGAATCCGATCACAACGATGTGTTCGGTTGCTTATGTAGAAAGGGTTAAACAGTCAATTGACTTGCGTAAACCTAGTAAACCCGACCCGTCTTCCAGCCCGACCCGGGAGATTTAGGTTGGCGCTTCTTTTTTTCAGAATTTAAGGCGCGCGAATCACCGCAATATATAACGCTTAGAGCCAAAATTTTCGTAGAGAAGCCAAAAATTTCGCAGAGAAAATGCCGACGAAGATGGAGATTGATCTGGAGGAGGATGTTGATTTTTATGAGTAGATAATATTTTCGCAGGTCTCGGAGGAAGCCGATAACCTGGAGAATGCCGACGTCCCGGAAACAAGCGCACATGAAGTAGAACACGTAGAACCAGTGGGACTGGACGAAAAGTTCAGCATCTCGGTAAAGTTCGCCTCCTTC